ACAAGAAAGGTGGTCTGCTTTGTAAGAGACTGGCCAACATCTGCTGCCTCCCTCCACACCCTTTCTGAATGCCCTGGTAATTCTTCCTCATCCTTATGCTCTCTCCTGTTGACATCATGTTCCCTGTGATGTCATCTGGTGACATCACTCTCCACATTCATGGTAGCAGGTGTAGCTTTAAACTGCTGGGTCTCCCCTACCCTTCCTCTGAGCTATATCCCAGATGTGGATCTGCCAACACTTTTATCGCAGTTAAAAAAACACCTCCTTATCTTTCATCACAAACCTTTCCTTCCCCCTTCCCTCCTTGTTGTGAATAAACCGCATTTGTATAACACTCAAATTCACAATCTCTGTGTCGTGTTCAACACCTACATCTCCTTCACACCAGATACTCTCTTCTGGATTGTCGCCAAATCTTACAGCTTCATGGCTGTAACCTCTCCAAAATCTCCTGCCATCCTTTCCTGCTAAAACATCTGTTTCTGAGCTAGCTCATCTCAACCTTTATAAACTTTACCAGCTTTCACAGTATTATGCAAGGTCTATTCAACATCCTGCCTATAAGATTCTTCCTTTCTGCAATCTGGTGGTTTCCCTCTATTTTTCCTCATTTTCATATTTGCCCTCGCCACCCTCAAAAGCTCTGAAGACCTTCACCTTCTCCTTTCTTGCTCCTGCCTCACCTGAAGACTGCCAAGGCTGACCAGTTCAGCTCACACCTCACAATTCATGGAGCAGAAAGTGTTCAGGTACTATGGCAAAAGATGATATGTGAAAGCACAGCGAGACATGTAGTCCTCCTTGTTGCTGTGCACCTCTCTTCCTTGGCCTCATACCCTTCCTAACACACATCTTCTAAAGCCTGTAGGTGTTAAGGCAAAGCTTATATAACACCACAGTCATTACTTGGCCCTTCATCATCAGCATTTCCCAGCCTCCACCTGATCCTGACCTGGATTCAGATGTGAACGCTGTCCCATTTGTCCTGTCTCTCACTCAGAGGCAGATGTGATAAGAAATAGCAAGATTATTTATTAAGACGCTTTGCATGCCTTTGAGGAAGCTTAAAGTGGTAATGTGCTGAAATGGGTAAATGAATCCCCAACAAGAAGAGGGTAGCCCTGGAAAAGTACTGCAAAATACACTGAAGATTATTGGTGCCGATTTTTTTTTCCCATGGGTTGGCCAAGTGCCACATTTTTCTGACTTCAGTGTTCACTTTGCCTGAACTTTAACAGCTAGGGCATCTGCCAAATGTGCTTATGGGCTTGCTGAGCTGTTCATGGAGGGCAAGTCAGAACTACCTCCCTGACAGACCTCATGGCCAGATCTCAGTGACAGGAGACTGGCTTGTGTAGTCAAGAAACAAAGATGACACTAGGTGACAAAGGCTGGTCAGCTAATGCAGAAAGATTGAAATATGAAGAAACCAAGTCACAAAGCAAAAGAAACCTGTGAGCAGTTTGTATAAACTTTGACGCAGCAGTGAATGTTCCCTCAAGTAGGACAAAAAATGTTCTGCCAAACTGTTATTATTTATTGAACTGACAGTAGTTAAAGAGTAGAGCTGGCACAACGTGGCTCTGGGACGCGCATCAGATCTGTCGAATAAGCAGATATCGTTTCTACAGATTTATTGCTCCTTTGGATTCCAGCAGTGTGCCAAAGCTGCTGCTGAGATGGCTGACAGTAAATGCACATGTTGGGACATCCACATCACCAGCCAGCACTGGCCCAGGCTTGCTGTCAGGAACAGACTTGCCCACCACCACACTGTGATTAGGCACATGTGCACGAAGAGGTCACCTCTGCTCTCTGGATGCTGTAATGCAAGCCGAACTCCTGGCTGGGCAACATCCAGGTGACCCTGCATGTGCCATCGACAGATATCCAAGCTTGGGTGCTTCCAAGCACATTGTGGATGCTGAGACCCAACCAGGGCCCATCACAGAGAGTGGGTAGAAAGCAGGCAGCTTTGGAAGCCTGCAGTGCTTAGGCTTTCTCTCCATTTCAGTTGTATTTTCACAAACATAACTGATATTCACAGTTCCCAGAGCATCAGACAGAATGGATAGATAATGGTCAGAAGGGAAACTGAGGTACTGACAGGTCAAGTGACTTGCCCACTAATGCTTATTTGGCTACAGGAACAGCACTAGGAACACGACCTTTGTCTCTTTGGTCCTGATACAGTCATTTATGCTACCTTGTTAAAGCAAAAAAAAAAAAGATAAAGAGTTCAAGCCAATTTCTGACAAAAGTGCATTGTTTCTGGGTGAGCTGCTCTGAAACAAGCATGGAAGGACTTGCATCACCATCTCGGTAGCCCACCTCTGCTGCTAAGCCTGTAAGTACACACAGGACTCTTCTCACGCAATCCAGGGCGCCAGCATCAGCGAAAACACCTAAGAAAATAAGGCAACAAGCTTCCATGCCCTGCAACAGGAGGAAGACTGAGGGTAACATTGGACAGCCACAAGCCTGCAGGATGCTGACAATTTTGAGAGGTTTTAGAGAAAAGCAACAAAATGATTGAGGGTTGGTTAGATGAAGGAAGGAGGAAAAAATAATATTGAAAGCACTAAATATACATTGCTTGGCCAAGTAATGCCTCAGGGAAAATAAAAGAGCTGGCAGTCAGGAGGAAGCTGAGAGCCAAGGAAGAAGTAGGATCTCCGTTGTTAAGGGCTCTCAGCCCTTGTAAGCGAACAATGAGGAATGACTGTGTGCTGCAAGCCAGGAGATAAGTTAGGATGAGGGGAAGCTGATGAGTGCAGGCACTACACAAATAGATGAGATCAAGTCTTTTCTGAAACAACATTTCTGCCACCAGCTGCACCTGGGTCTTGATTTTCTCCTGTGTTTTTCATTCACTGCATGGTCAAATGTTAAGGCACTAATTCTTCCCAGGCATATGGAGGAATCACTTAATGTAGAGCAAGAGGTTATAAATAGATGTGATTGGACAAAAGTGAAAAAAGGGCAAGTGAGGTCATTTAGATGGGAATAACCTTCAAATAAAGTAGTAGAAACCCCTTCTCACAGGTTATTTAAAACCAGACTGGGGAAAAAGAAAACTGGTTTCTGTATTCAAGGAAGAGTAGAATTTGGGTAAAAAATTGCCCTGTGAAGGGAAGAGATGAAGAGATCCATTGTTTATCTCTCCAAACTGATATTTTAAAATGTTCAAACCACTTTGGCTCTATAAGCAGCATTTTACACTTGAATGTGCAGTTAGTCTGGCGTTTACATTAATGGATTAAAAGTAACAAATTAATGGCAACAACAATTGACAAGGATAAAATTCACCTACTGGCCAATGATCCATGTTTCTCCAAGAAACGATAATAATACAGCCATGATTTACAAGGAGATTGATTAAAGAACAGGGGGAAAGAAAGAAAAGCCAACAACTATTAAAGCTTCAAAAGCGAGCAAAGGGAGAAGCAAGGGGTGGGAAAGGGAATAAACAAGCAAAAAACCAACAAGAGATAGAAACGTTATTTTGTGCCCTCAGTTGCTGTAAGGAGCAATTTGGGGGAGTAGAAGATAAATACCGATCGACCACCATCAGAACCAATAATTCATAGTGATTATAGACAGACCAAGAACCTACTATGTTTTCAGATGTTCAAAGCAAATACAAATCTTGGTCCTGACCCTACGAGAGGAGTCACAGAGATGCAGAAATTCACAGATCAGGAGTTTGGCCACCAGGCAATATTTTTCCACAACAGACAGATGAAACCAGGTAGTTTTTGAGCAAGAGGCAACTGCGTATTGCCAGGCTCTTCTCTGCAAAGGCTCGATAAGCTGCTGACCTATCTTGACCTATGCTTTACCTCCTGGTAAATTTATATCAGTATTCTTTTTCCCTTCCATGTTAATTCAGTCCCTGCAGATATGCCATGCTGATATTATGAGCTCCTTAGCATGATGTATAAAGACCATAAATGAAAAGCCAGGAGCTACAGGGTGAAATTCAGTGTTCCGTACTATTCAAGGGGTCAGATTTGATGATCAGATTGACCCTTATGTCATCAAGTATGTGAACCTCTCTTCAGCCCAAGAAATGAATTCATTTTTTTAATAGTAATTCACTGAAAAACTGTCAAGGGTTAATGACCTGAGGCTTGTATTTGCCAAAAAACACAAGCCCCCCCCCTTTTTAGCCTGTACTTTGAGAGACTGAGGGGTTGCCAACAAAAGAAAGAAAAAAAAAAAAACAACCAAACAAGCAAGCAAACAGAAAAGAGAAGGCCTTGTGGGCAATTTAGATCTTACAGAGAAAATCAGAGCAGAAATTCTGGCTTAGACTCCAACTGGGATTGTGGTGAAAGTCACAATCTCTCCCATCAGGGACCAGCGTTGGTGCAAAACTGCAGCCAGCCTGGCTCCCTGCCTGGGCAGTGCTGCTTAAAATGGCCATGAGTCCCCTCCCAGTACACAGGAGCCTATATCTTCTTATGGGCTTGATCCACTCAATCTCCTGCTGACCCTAAATAACAGCAGAGACTTTAAGTGGCCGCAGGGAGTTGTATTAGGAAAACTGAGATCTAGCTCTGGTCAGAAAAGAGACCTGGTCCTTTGGGAAATTCCTCAGTAAGGATGGACCCAGAGCCCACTCAAAGCCTCCCAGGAAAACACAAAAGCAGCTTTTAGAAATCTTCCAGGGATAACATCTGCATTGCTCAACAGAGCAAAATATAGCCAACAGCTATGGCTTGATCACATCAGCAACCTTCCTCCATAAGTATAACTCTTATTTCCATGGGCACTTATTTCTCCCACCTGAACATCAGCCGCATCTGACTTTCCTAGTGAGAAACAAAGATGTAAAAAAAGGAAAACAGAGCTACTGAAAAAAAGGCAATCGATTCTAACATCAGACCTCCTGCTGCTACCTGCTCTCCATTGCTCCAGTATCATCCTTGTTGCTCTTTATGCCTGTATTGATTCACAGGTGACTAGAGGGACAGAGAGCAAATTCAACTCACCACAGCAAAGGTAATCCAGGTACATAGCTTTGCTCAAGTCAGTAATCCATCCCAGGTCAGGCCTCCCTTGAGCACTCACAGCTGAGATCAAAAGCCAGGCAGAGAAATTTCCCTTCTTTACTTTTCCCAGCCCTGCAAATGAAAGAACTCTTCTGCTCACTGTCTGCACAGGGGAATGGCCCCCACCTTCCTTCCTAAATCTTTACATCTCTCCTTTTCTTGCAGCTTTCCCCACCATCGTATGCTCCCATGCTCAACCACTTCTCCAGATAAAAGAAGCAAATGGACTCTGCCCAGGGTAGCCACTTGGAATGGGATTAAGATGAGCAGCTTACAGCTGGGCACCATCTGCAGTGACGATAATTAATTAATGAGGTTTTAAAGATCTTTTTTTCTTTGTTCCTCATACAGATTTGATGACTGAGAAATTTGCATCACTGTGTGGATTGTGCTCTCTGCTGACTGACAAGCCTGACACAGTGTCTCCTTCTGTACATAGTACACCTGTATTTAAGTCACGAGCTTGAAAGGCTGGCTCCTGGTGTCAAAGCCTTTCTTGCCTTTTCTGATCACAAAGCCCATGTTTTAAGTCTCCAGCCTGTGACAGGCAGTAAATAAATCAGATTAAATGATTGCAAAAGTCCCTCCCAGCCTGAAAAAACAAAACAAAACAAAAAATGTGGCAAAAAGAAAAACTCATACTCCAGGAGAAAGTTTCATATATTCCATCAAGGGATGTTAAAGGGTGCTATAAATGATAACAAATGACAGAAATCACAACCCCAGAGAGGCAAAGGGAAACATTATTCCTCATTCACCAGTGGGAAAAGAGGCATCTTCAAATTCTGGTATTTCTTCAACAGTCAGGCCAGATGCCAGACCCCAAATGTCCTAATGCCCAGCGCAATACCTTCAATGCTTCCTTGCCAAAAGGCTCTTACGTTTTCTTACACAAAAACATTGCCTGGCCTGTAAAGATGATGTGCTCTGCAGTCCCTGTTAATGATTATTCACCCCAAAACTCTCCAGATTACACTGAGGCTCCATCCCTGCTTCCTCATCTCAGCTTTCTTTGGGTTGGACCAAAAGCATGCAGAGATGATGGTGCATGGCTGAGTATCACCTCAGCCTTGTACGGGGACACAGGATGGGTGGAAGATACCTGACAGAATATAGGTGATAACACTATAGACCCTGTGAGATAGCAGTCTACACTCCTATGCTCCTTGGGGTACAATTCCTCAAATGCTATAGCTGATGTAAAAACACAGTCATCTGACTCACCTTCAAGAGTACCTCATTCTCTCCAGGGACTGAATGAAGTCTGAGATGTTAGCTCAGATACTGAGCCCTGCCTCACAGGCACCTAGAGTTAAACGATATGAGTGTCCATCATATAAGTGGATAAGCACTTTCCAAAAATTTTCCGTATCCTAAAGTAAATATACTAGCTAACTGCAGTACTGAATAACTATTATCAAATAGCTGCTACTATTCTTTTCGTGGTGACATGGAATCTTAATTGCAAATAGTGAAAGACAGACACCACTGGGCCCTCTGCTTTAGAATGGGCTGCTCCATTTTTCAGACTCTATTGACCATGTCTCATCTAGGAAGAACAACATCATATGCAAAACACTTACATAAAGTTCAATTCCTGAGTTTATACAGTGAATCCCATCCTTACGCCCCTTGAACTATGGGGTAAATAAATAAGTAGCCCCTGCAATTACTACCTACCTTCAGATGCTTCTGTTTCTTCTGCATCAAGTGAAACAGGGAGAGACCTCAACCAGCTCTGAATTACCCTTGCAAGTGACTATTGCCCCACTGATGACAGACCAGAGGCTGTTTGCAATGTATTATTCAATAGTTGTAACCAGAGCAGAATCTAATTCTGTATGATTTCCTCAATGCTCCAAAAGACAAGGTCACAAGAACAGTGGTATAAAAATATTTTCCTTTTTGTGTGTCTCCTGTTTCTTTCCTCACCCTGTCCCATCCCAAAGTTAAACCCCATTTGCAGTACTGTTCAAACCATAACTGAAAACCTGGCTGCCTTCTGACATGTGAGGACTCTACATGTTGCAGGCTGTAACTTCAGGCAGGTGTCATGTTAAATCTCTAGAGGGATTGGTTGCTGCTTATCATCAGAAGGAGGGGAATCTCCCCAGCTTTGACGTCTGCAATAGCTTCATAAGTTAAAGCCACACATGATCAGGTTGACCTTATGCTGCAGTTGTTGATTTTTGGGTTGGTTTCTTATTTTTCAAAAAGATGATGTATACAGTTGCTCAGAGTGGGATTTCCAGCACTTTTCTCCTCTGAAAATCCTCGGTCTTAATAATTAATTATTATTATTAATTGTATTTTGGCAGCCTCCCTGGCCTTTTTTACTCATAAATATCCATGAAACTTCAAGGCATTAATGAAAATAGACTCACCTGCAGAGGTGGAAGAGGAGTTTTTTATTAAGTGTTAAGGGAGAATGCAGGGGGAGAAAGGCATTTTGGAAAATGTGTTAGGTTTGAGAAAACTCCTGGTGGGAACGTTTCTCAAATTCAGGGCTAAACCTTAGTCAAATCTACAGGGGAGAGAAAACACCCAGGGTGGAAATCTATTAACCCAGATTCAAGCCTTTTTGCTATGTTAAAAATCGCATTGAAGGTCCCAGCTCCACACCCCAGTGCCTATCCCAACCCTATTTCCTCTCCAAATAGAGTTCTATAAGGTCTTGAGCACAAGAAGAAGCTGTGATGCTCATCTGCCTTGAGAGTGAGAGAAAAGCAGATGAACTTTCAGGTTGGCTGTGACACAGCAGCAGGTTATGCAACAAAGCCAGGGATCTCCTTTTCTAATTCTCCTTCCCCCCATTAATAAACATCTCCTACCTCTCAATGAGTAATATAGCAGAAGATGGGAGAAATTAGCTGATTGATGGATAGAACCTAAGCCATTTGACTCCCATAAAGTCTTCCTTACATTTGGGTATTATTAGCACCTGTTTCTAATCCATTCTTTAAAGGGTTTATGCTTAACAGCTGAAATTGCCAAGAGTGTTAAGTCTCACTCAGAAAAAGTGAATACAGTACAGTTGGTGTTACTTTAGGCAAATCATTTGCTCCCTGTTCACAAAGGGATATAAGCCAACACTTCATTTCCAGGAGGTGCTTGGCTTCCCCCTAGGTTGTCTTCTGCTGAATAGGGTCTCATTTTCTCTATACAGAATTGTTTTACATATAGTGAAAGCGCCTATCCTGTGAAAACAGGGTGAGAGAGCTGGGGCTGTTGAGAAGAGAAGGCTCCAGGGAGACAGAGCAGCTTCCAGTGCCTAAAGGGGCTGAAAAGAAAGCTGGAGAGGGGCTTTTGACAAGGGCCTGTAGGGACAGGACAAGGGGGAATGGCTTTAACCTGACAGAGGGGAGGTTGAGATGAGATCTTAGGCAGAAGTTCTTCCCTGTGAAGGTGGTGAGGCCCTGGCACAGGGTGCCCAAAGAAGCTGTGGCTGCTCCATCCCTGGCAGTGTTCAAGGCCAGGTTGGAGGGGGCTTGGAGCAACCTGGTCTAGTGGAAGGTGTCCCTGCCTGTGGCAGGGGTTGGAACTGGATGAGCTTTAAGGTTCCTTCCAACCCAAACAATTCTGTGATTCTATCAGTCTAGCATCTCTGTTCTGGCTTCCCAGAGTTCATCACGGACAATTGTGCTGCCCAGCTTGCATAGCAGAGAAGAATCAGCACAGACCTCCCTGTTTGTTTTGGTTGTCAGTAACTTCTCTCTATCTAAATGATTCCCAGAACTAATAATGGCCATTGCAGCCCCTGTATGTATGGTGATATGTCAATATTGCATAATTTTAGATAGACTGTACTTAAGGACTGGTTTGCTCAGATGATCCCAGCTGTAGATTAGCAACTTCTAGGAAAACCAGGAAGCCTAGGTGTTACCAAGACTATATGAAGACCTCTGGAGGGTCTAGCAACTTAGGACATACAGCTGCGGGCAGTCTTCTCTCCTAGCTGCAGCAGATCCCTCTTTCCCATTGAGACTAAATTTATTTCTTTGCCGTATCTCCTGTCCCTCCTCACCAAACACATATCCTATTTCAACATTGCAGGGTCACATGAGCAAGCTTTTCATTCAATCCTGAGTTTTATGAAAATAGAAACACCTGAAATCAAAACAAACTAGGAAACCCAGTTCTGTACTGAGATGCAGCTGTATGCCTGCATTAAACTATCAGAGTCAGTATGAGTGAAAAAGAAGTTGCTCACTTTCATAAAATGCCTCTGGATTTGCTGTTAAGGATGATGAAGGCATTTAGCCTTCAGCATCTGAAGGGATTGTCATGTTATTTATTCAGGATAGGGACAGAAAAAATAAACTGCCACAAGGGTACAGGTAAAGCCAAGCACACTGAATGAAGTTTATTACAAAGGTGTTGCTACCTCTAAGGTGGAAAGCACCTTTCTGACCCCAGCTAGCTGGCTTTTCTGAGCCAGGCCACGTGCAATGGCTATGCTGTCTTCTGCTGCACAACAGCACCAAAAAGAATAGACACACCAAGGCAGATGGTGGGTAGGACAAAACCACAGGTCTCAAAATGCCAGTCACCTTGGAGATGTTTGATTGGCAGGACAGCAAGATTACTTTGCTTTGGTCTGTTACAGAGATAACAGACGGCTGTGAAATGCTTGATCATGTTCCTGGGCCCCTCTCTAAGACCAACTCCAGGCTCTCACTGGGGCTGTAGCCACAGTGGGAGGTCTGAGCAGGACTCTCCACCATCAGCAGCTCTTCTGAGCAAACCAAAAAGAGAGCTGGAGATTTGCCAGGCTTTGCTGTGCTTATCTCAGCTGGAGCACAGCCTCTCACATATTTTTGCAGATTCATCTCTGTGCTGTGACACAACCAACAGATGCACAGGGTGATATCACTGCCTGGTCTAAAATTCCTGCCTTTACCACACTGAGCGGTGGGATCTGAGATTAGGATCTCAGGTTGTCATTGGAAAGCAGCTGAATTACCACAAGCCTTGTTGGGCTGTGGTGAAGGTCTCTGGCCATACAGCAGTTACACCTGCAGTGAGTAATAGTAAGGGTTTTCAGGAGTGGATCTTTTCACCCTCAAGTTGCTGTCCCTTGCAACACACTGTACAATGCAGAGTGATGAGTTTGATGCAGGACACAAGGGCAAGAGATGATAGACCTTTCCTACTAATCTCCTTGTACCCAAAATCTGTAGAAGAGAGAACTGCCTCATATGTTAAGGCATTAATGTATTACCGCTAAGAGCATTAGGGGCTTGATTAGTACAGTAACATCCACACCCCCACCTACCACATGGCCATGCTTTAAAGGGCTCCATCATGGTCATCTTCTGCAGCTGTACTAAAATACAGCCATGCGTCAGCAACAGGCTTGATGTCTCCTGTTCTCCTTAGATGATGCAAGCTCCTAGCAGGAATCAGCTGCTTTGCAAGCAGTTTTGACTTTACAGCCATACCATAACACTTTCACTTTGACATCTTGCCTTCAGTCCAAAGCTACTTGCTGCAAAGCAGAGTTTTTCATGGCTAGTTTTTTTCCACAATTTCAGCTGCATCAGTCTGAATCCATCCAACCAAGCTGTAGGCAGTTACAGTCTAAATAGAGATCTTCCTTGAGGGAGATCTTTGCTGGGAAGAATTCAAGCCACGTGGAGATGGAGAGACATCACATATGGAAAGCTCCTGTATTCTGAGCAATGTATCTTTCTCTAAATCTGGACCTGGAGATTTGGTCCCAGCCATATCAGCATATAGGGAAAATTCTTCCACTCATCCCAGGAGCTGCTTGCTACTTTGAACACTTTGAACTCCAAAAAATGCTGACAGAAACCATACTGCTGAGCAAGACTTCAAAACCTCTGGCGCTGTGCAGCACACTGAATGCTCTAGCACATGCTCTGCAACTGTGACACAACCTCTTCAGATCACTTGATCATCAGCTGTGGTTAAGCAAAGGATGTAGGACTTGATGTATCAGGCAGCCTTTGCGTAAACGCATTTTCTCATGCTGGAGAATGTCCTGTGTTCTCTGGGATGTACACACGAATGACCACAGGAGCAACTGTTCTGACAAACATAGGGACTGGGAAAGCAGAGGGATGGAAGTGTGGATAATGTCAGAGTTCAGAAAAAGCCACCACTGATTCTTTGGTTTAGAGTGGAGGGATAGTGATAATCATGATTTGCTTGCTCCAACATTTTCATGCATCAGCTGTGGAGATGCAATACTGATACAGAACAGGAAGATGACATCTATACTAGGAAACTAAATGGTGCTTATAGTCATTTTCAGGTGGTCCTGGTTTGGGCTGGAACAGAGCTAATTTTCTTCCCAGTAGCTGGTGCAGTGCTGTGTTTTGGATTTAGTATGATGATAATGTTGATAACACACCAATGTTTTAGGTGTTGCTCAGTAGCACTTACCCTGATCAAGGACTTTTCAGTCTCTCATGTTCTGCCAGTAAGGAGGGGAACAAGAAGCCAGGAGGGAGCAGAGCCAGGACATCTGACCCAAACTAGCCAGAGGGATATTCTGTACCATAAAGTACTGCACCTGGTACACAAACTTGGGGTGGTGGTGGGCTCGGACATGATGATCACTGCTCAGAGGTGGGGTGGGTACTCATCAGCAGGGGGTGAGCAATTGTACTGTGCATCACTTGTCCTTCTTGGGCTTTATTCCTCTCTTTCTTTTCATTGTTGTTAAAATTAAAATCATTATCAAACTGTTCTTATTCAACCCTTTTCTGATTCTCCTCCCCATCCCACCAGGCAGGGCAATGAGCAAGTGGTTGCATAGTACTTAGTTGCCAGATGGGATTAAACCACGACACTGGTCCTGAGGCCAATCACCAGAGCTAGCAATATCCCATTGTTAAACTTCCTCCAAAACAAGGTGAATGCTTCCTAACTGTCTGGGAGCAGGGATG